GTTTCAGATGAAATATGTTGAATTTGCCCTGTACCATACACTTAAGTGCCGAAAAATCAGTAACTTTCAATTCTGACATGGCAAATGGAGTATTCAATCGACCCCGATAAATCGAACGCCCACTAACTCGAACTGTTTTTCGTTTTCCCTCAGAGTTCGAGTTAGCAGGATTGTGCTGTAATAAAAACTAGAGAGTGAGAGAGGTATTGTACTATTAACGTAGTAAGGCATCTTTAGGAAGCTAGAAACTCAAGAGCATCATCTCAAACAGTGTTGTGATATTTAGGTGATTTATGATTTCTTCTGACTTTCCTGTTCTTTGACAAAATGCCAATATCTCACTTCAGATGTACGAATTATTTTATTTTATTTTATCTTACTTAGTACACGTTCCCTTCAAAATCTTGTTATTTAGTAATGTTCATCACATTTTTCCCTAAAAACATTTTAAAAGACACCACAATCTCTTCCATGTGACTGCTTCTCTCGATTATTTAGTTTTCCTATATTTCTATGTGTTTGACTCCAGTTAGTAACCCCCTAAACACAAACAGGATTTACAAATTATTTTGGAAAAAACTAAAGGAGGGTCATCTTGTAGCATCAGCCAACAAAGAGTAAGGCTTATGATGTTTTTATATCATTTCCCTCATATTGTTTCTGGACAAATTGAATGATTAAATAATTCATTATATCGAAAAATTACCTTAGGCCCGGTTCGGACGCCGAACTTTTCATGAGCCGAACCTTATTCGAATTAAGGCCGACCCAAACTATTTAGATCGGCTGAACTGATTCAGACGCCGATCTTAATTCCAGCGGAACAAAATTCAAAAGGCGAAAGATGCTCATGTAAATGTAACGTCAAATGGCTCCTTTATGTCTCATGCAAACGAATTGCAATTCCCAAATTTCAAGTTCATGCGCATGTGGGCGTGTGGGCTGGAGGGAGGGGGGAGGGGGGTTGAAGCACATTTGCCAACTTCCATTCCTCCAAGCAAACGCTCTGTGTGGTTCATATAAAGTGTTATCGAGTTCCTATCGATTAATGAAAGATGATGGTAAACTGATCGACGATATTCATTCAATCCCTTACGCAGCGTTCATCCTGAGTTGGACCTATGAGACCCGCTGCAAAATGTCGAATTACTTGTTAACTTGAGTAATCACAATAAGGCGATTTACCAATACAATACCATGAGAAAATACCATTTGTCGACGCCCAGCTGGTAAGTACATGCTACTCTTGGAGGGATCAGGATTTCCTACAAAATAGAGTCCCCTTTGCTGATTATCGTCTTCCGGAAAGACGACTTTCTTGAACCATGCTCACATGACGTTTTCTGTTTAGTATTGTCTGTGTTAGTGCTCGGTTTTAGGCTTCGGTTTCTGCAATGGCTTCCGAGAAAATAAGAAGAAGACTAGAAAATACTAGTTTTTCTTCTATGTCACAGTTTGCTTCGATTGTATCAATTTTTCATAATTTGGATTTGATTGGTGTCAGAATGTTCAATTTTAAAGTTAGCAGATGCCCAAAACTCCAACCTAAACGCAAACGTTTACTCGTAAGGGATAAAGGTCAGTTTTGTGAGTCGCTGTTATGACAGTGACTTTAAAAGAAGGGGAAAACCCCAACTTGTTTTTATGAATCATCGAATCATTATGGTATCCTCTTGGGAAAGAAACCTAATCTGAATAACATGACGTCATTTGGCGTTTTCGTATTCGTCAAGTGCATCTCGCGAATAAACGTTTGTGCTTCGTCAGCGAAAGAGTCGAAAGAAATGGCTTCCGTCGTTGCAGGGGGTGCGTGTTTTATTCCTTGTCCTTACGCTTACCCAATGCTTTTTGCTTGCCTCTTATCCTGCAAGATACTCAAATGATCCTGTTTGGTACGCAGCGGCCTTTTTCTACACTCCATCAATCATACTCTGGCTCATCCTTGTGTTCGGGAATGCAGCAAACGTTCGTCTGTCGTTTTGTGTGTGGGCACTGTACATAGTCGTCGGCTTGATTCCCAATATTGGCATCATATTTGGGGTTGCCGGAAACGGCCTAATTTTCAACAATTCCCATAACGCAACGTGTGCAGCACCCAATGGAACGAATGCGTGGTCCGGGGCTGAAATCTTATTTGGGGTTACTGGAAATGGAACAATTTTCAACAAGACTTCTCCTAACACGACGCGTGCAGCACCCAATGGGACGAATGCGTCGTCCGGGGCTGGAATCTTATTTGGGGTTACTGGAAATGGAACAATTTTCAACAAGACTTCTCCTAACGCGACGCGTGCAGCACCCAATGGGACGAATGCGTCGTCCGGGGCTGGAATCTTATTTGGGGTTACTGGAAATGGAACAATTTTCAACAAGACTTCTCCTAACGCGACGCGTGCAGCACCCAATGGGACGATTGCGTCGTCCGAGGCTGGAGATGGCCTTGAAAACAAACGTCTGGATCCTATTGTTCTTAAAGCAGCCCTCTGCTTGACACCGCTGCTATTGGTGTTGTTATTGAACACAGCAAGCGACGCAGATGACTACAGAGACGCATTATCCAAGTTGTGTGTGCAGTTGGCGGTGGATCTCTTGGATGCAGTGGAAATGATAGACATCGGTCTGGAAGACCACGAACAGAAATTCTGTATCTCTGACGAATTTGGCATAGCAATGATCACTGTGGCCTGCATCAGTTTATTCCTGTCACCCTGGTCTATGCTAGAGATTGATCTGGACGAAAAGAAGACGAAAAAGCGCACAGCAATGGCCCGAAACATCGTTGAAACATTTTGCGTCAATATTGTCTTCTTGGGAATTCGCCTGGCGATCGTAATTCTGTACAGAAAGGATGAGACCATATTCATCGCCAAGAACATTCTTGCAATCGTTCTTTCCAGTCTTGAAATTCGTGACATCCGCAAATCGAAGGAAGACAAATATGTATGATTTAACTTAGGCCTGGTTCAGACGCCGTACTTTTCATGTGCCGAACCTAACTGAATAAGTTCGACTTTGGAGCGACACTGGCGCGACATCTAATTCAGACGGCGTACCGTGTGTCGAACCTAAGTTAAGTTCGACAAAAGTTCGACAGACTCTGTCGAACTTAACGCTTTTGCTGCACCAAACTAAAACTGCCGTACCAAATTGATTCAGACGCCGCTCTTTTGTCGTACTTAATTCACCAGTTAGGTTCGGCACATGAGTGGAGCGGCGTCTGAACCGGGCCTTACTTTCGCAGGAAATGATTACTTTAAAAGCTGCATGTCAAATATTTTACTCAGATAAAATCCCATGTACGCTAATATATTTACAAGAGACAAAAAAGCGATTGCAGGTAAAAAACGTAGCCTTTGTAAATGCGATCGAACCAAAAATAGCCGTCGAAGGTTGTTGTCTTTGCACATGATAAAAAACCACAGTCCAAGAGGGATAAGGTAGGTAAGTATTAATGCGTAATTATGTCATTATTACCATTGTAAGTAAATGGCTATGAAGCAAGCGAAGCAGACGGTAAAATAAAAAAGGCGAATCGTCCCAGGAAAACAAGAAATGAAGCCATTATTTTGCCAATGCAATTTGTGTCAGTGACGACTCTTCTTAGAAAGGAGTGCAACGAATCTTTCCGAGAAAAGAAAAGCGAGTAATCAGAATTAGACAATATAATTAGCATTCTTGGAATGTCACCTCATATGTATATTTTGCTGTGATGCTTTCTAAAATCTAACATTTTCCGTTTTGCAACACTTTTATTGACTCATATTGGTATGGTTAGCTGCGAGAGCTAGATTGACAATGATTGTGAGAAAACAGCTGTAGTTTCAAAATTTAGTCACGTCACATAGCATCATTTCTCAGAAAGATGACTTGTCAGTTGTCTTCTTCTAGAATCATGCGCATATGCATTTTCTATGTATTGTTGTTCGTGCTGGCGTTTAGGAAGTTGTAATCTGCAAAGGCTTCTGAAATCAGAATAGGATTTTTGTGGGCCGCAATCAAAGCCAAACCATTGGTGTCACTAGGGCGATTTATATTCTTCGCCTTGATAGTAAGTCAGTGCGTTTTGCTTGCCTCTTATCCCGCAAAATACAAAGACAATTCTAGCTGGTACCGTATAGCAATTCCTGTTCCTTACTCTTTTCGAAACCAATCTTAACGGACAAAGCAAAATATAGTATCTACGAAAAACTCTTAACAGTTTTAGCGTCACAGGTTCGAGCCACCTTAAGGAGCTAGGAAAATATCTTTAAAAATGCTTAAGAGGGCATTGAGAACACCCAATAGGAATAATTTAAAGTTGAACCGTGAAAAAAAATCATCTAGCCTGGCTCAGCAGGTGACTAAAAACTTCAAATTCACCTTTGAGTCGAATTGAAGACTGGAAAGCAAACTGGAAGTAATTATAAAATTAGTGTTTTCTTGTACCGGTAAGAGCCATTTTACTTCATTGTTCAACACTACGTTTTTACTCTTTTTGTTGATTTATTAAAAAAGCTAAAAATGTATCAAGTTGAATGTACTGTTGATGCCACAGTCAATTCATCTGTCAATCCCATCTCCCTGATTACACTCATCCTTACACTTCACTGAATAGTAATAACGTCTCCCTTTCGGTTACATTTATCTGAGATCACAATGACTAAAGATTCTAGCGCACTTACTTATCCCCGTTTACTGCTCGTAAATTATGTCATATTAAGCAAAGCATCGTGGTTTACCAGCCTGCACAACTATATTCTTAGTTCAACATCGTGCTATTCTGAGGCTGCTGGTGTGCGTAGGCTAGTGTGGAGATTAAAAATTTCCTTCATGGATAGGATGATCGTGATGACATTCTTAGCAACAAAAATGGACTCGTCCTTGTTGTACTTGAACGCGATCACCAAGTGAATGATCAAGAACGCAAGATTTACACCAGTCATTTCAAAAATGTTTCGTAGAATCGCTGTAAGATTTCTCCGTCTTCCTTTTTCAATATTGTGTTCTGCCATTTGCCATGGTCAGAGCAGCAAACTCAAGCAGGCGACTACGATCATGGATTTACCATCTTTTGAAATTCCATAGCCGTGTTCCTTTTCGTCCAGAACGATATCTATCATGTCAACACTATCAAAAAGATTAAGCGTCATTCGAAAAGACAACTTGGAGACCGTTTCTCTGTTTTCATTTGAATCGCTTGCGGTGTTTACCAAAAGCAGCAGAATAGGTGGTGTAAGACATAGGGCAGTTTTTAAGGTTATGGGACCCAAGAACCTGTTATTGTCGAGGCTGTCTCCGACAAAACCAAGTACGATGGCAATGTTAGGTACCAATCCGCAAAACATGTACAAAATCCATACGAAGACAAGCCGTCGAAGAAATGCCTTGTTGAACAGCCACACTATGATTGCTGGGGCGTACGAACTGACCAAAGCATACCAACGAGGTTCATCTTTATATTCGGCTGGATATGCCGCAAGCAAAAAGCCTTGAATTAACATCAGAGCAAGGAGCACTGCACGTCCCAAGCGCAGAAGAAGCAAACCCATGACTCCAGAAGCAAAACACTCTTTGCAGTGAAATTCTTCCCCGTCAACTCCACTATTAATAAAGCTTCTAGAAACCCCTGAATAGTTTTAGCCAACTGCAGAACACAAGAATCTTTCCGCTGAGTGAGCATGGGTCACAGGGATAAAAATTGTTTGTTTCATAATATGCAGCAGCATTCTCAAACAAACTATGAAAAATGTCGCCCTGCTTGAACTTTTGCACTTATTTTAAAATGTGCTGTATATCCAATTGATCAACATGCTGCTGTAAAAGCAGGTTGAAAGTATGCATCAGGAATATTTTAATTATAGCACTTTTCTAAGAAATGCACTGAAAGGAACGGAAGTTTCTAAGAAAGGGATTAGGGGATTCCCCGACATAGCGTTAGAAGTCTCTAACTGGCGACTTTCTGTATTTTCATATCATCTAAAGTAGATGCGTAATGAGTCAATTCCAAGAGAACACCCAATTTATTTTTGCTCTGAAATTTTTACGTTAAAATTTCATTATGTTGAAACGGAAATCAGTAACGTATTCACTGTAGGGTTAAATATTATGCCGGCATAATTTTGGGTATAATGCTATAGTCGGAGCATCGAGCATAATGCCAGGTGAGCATAATGGCCATTTTTTTCAGCATAAAGAGAATGACAATGAAAAAAATGGTAATATTTTCATAACCGTACTAAGAATTGTTTACTTCCAAGTGCTTTTAGTTGGGATTAATATTAACATATTCAATTAGGCTTGATTGCTACTTCAATGTCTTGTTGCACCATTGCTTCAGTCGGTTAGGCTGCTAAGACTGGCTAATTGTTTATCCATCATGGCTGTCAATCATCGACAATTTGTAACTGATGCAATAAATTAAAATGTTGTATTCATGCCTGCGTGGGTGCAAAAAGGTATCAAATACAGCCAAGTGCAGTCGACCATAATACTACTTTTCGAACACAATTTTAGGCATAATGCTGAATTTTGAGGGTAACGCTCAAAAGCATAATGCTCAAATCAGTTTTTGAGAAGAACAATGTATCTTACCCTACTTCACTCCCTCAAAGGGTGTAATTGCGAAGGTACAGAAGCAAAATGCAAAGCAATTTGTTTTTATTAAGCATTTATTATTCGTATTTGACTCTACTGACACTGTTATTACATAAAACGTAAACATTGGCAAATTCATTATGATTCATTGATATATACATTTCATTTTTCATTCTTTATATTGTGGACCTAATACGATGCTGAAATTAAAATTCCATGATCAAAGTATAGCTATAAACATCTACCAGACAATAAATTTTAAAAAAAGGCCCATCAATTCACACAAATTAAAATGGAATACACGCACATTCTTTATATAACTAAATACAAAAATCATTTGCTTCATTCGGAACTGCTACATATTCCTTGCAAAATCTGAGAGAATGTTAGACTTATAGCTTGTAGAAAACGTTTCAGAGTTTAAAGTGCACCCAAGCAAGCCATTATCCCTTGTTAAGGAGATCGTGGATCTCGAATGAGGCGAGGATTATTCCAATGCCATTCTTTGCGATGAAGATAGACTCATCCTTCTTGTATTTAAATACAATCACAAGACGGATAGCCAGGAACACAACGTCGAAGACTATTTCGGCAATGTTTCGTAATATTGCAGTACATTTTCTGGGTTTTTCTTCCTTGAGATTGTTTTCCGCCATTTGCCATGGGGAGAGTAGTAAACTGATGCAAGCCAAGGCGATCATTCCTGCTCCAAATTCTTTCGGGATGCCATAGTTGTGCTCTTTTTCATCCAAAACGATGTCTAGCATTTCAACACTATCAAAAAGATCTACAGTCATGTAAAAACACAACTTGGATACCACTTCTTTATATTTGTTGCCATCTTTCGCGGTGTTCAACAACAATAGGAGAAGAAGGGGGGTTATACAGAGTACGGTCTTCAAAACATTTGGCCCGAGGAACCGTTTTTTGTCGAGGATGTCTCCAACGAAGCCAAAAACAATGGCAATGCTGATAACTAGACCGAAGATGTACAGGCCCCAGATATAAAACAACCTTTGAAGTCTTGCCGCACTAGACAGCAGGAGGGCGAGCCAGAAGGTGACTGATAGAGCCTGTGAAGCAGCAACAGCATACCAAATGGAGTCGTCTTTATACGTGGCTGGATAAGCCGCTAGCATAAAGTTCTGAGTGACCAATAAAGCAAAAAACAATGCACGTCCACCGCATACAAGAAATGAGGCCATTTCTTTGGTCAAAAACCTGCTACTGAAGAAAAAAGTCATCGATATGAATTTTATTAAGGTAATTGCAAGTGTCACCAGCCAATAGGAAAACACCACATCAACTCTTATGTTAGAGCGCCTGAACGAGGCAAGGGGCTCTTCCCTTGGCACCTGGGAAATTCCCCGCTTTTTGCAAACAAGCTAAAAGTTAGATGACAGACTAGGTGTCAATCGTTTATGCAATTTAATTGACAGTGACGAACTCGTCTGAAGGTTTAGAATTTCCGAGAAATTGTTAAGCATGAAAGGTTGTCTTTCCAAGAAAGATGCTGGACATTTACGGTTGACCGTGTTCACTACTGCTATCACTTATTTAATTATCACAGCAATTAATCATGGTAAATCATGATATCTCCAGTATGATTTTTTTTTTCAGTCTATAAAACTGGTTCAAGCTTGTCCTTATTGAAAGAGAATGTGTTTATTGTATTATTCATAGGTAATGACATAGCCAGTGTGAAAACAACAGTTGCTTGCGTTGGTGACTAGCGTGACCAAAGGGATGTTTATGGGTCTTCGATGAAAATCATCAAAGTTTAAAGAATTTGGGGTCAAACGGCAAAAGGACTTACTGTGATAAAATTAACACAATTAATAATAAGCTGCTGTCGACCTCGTGACTGCTCAACAAAACAACTCTAAACTCAAGATGCTGCTTTACAGTATGAGAGGTCGTATGATAGTTCTGTTGCTTCGCAGAAAATAAATTATGTAGCGCCAGTTCACTGACTGATTGCTACTGAAAATAAAGAAGTATTGTCTTTTTTTAGACTACGTACTAGTAATCGTGACGACCACACACTTGAAATGTGGAACATATCTCAAACAGGCTGAGAATGATTATGATGCCATTTTTTAGCACTGAAAACGAATGCATCCTTACCATACTTTAGGTATAAAATCAAACGAAACCCCAGAATTACACCGTTAACAAGAAGAATCTATGTAAATTGTCTTTTTGCGAAAGCGATGCTTCCAATAGCCGTATCGTCTGACCTGTTTCCATAAGAAAGGGAAACAATTAAGAAGCTGAAACAGACAACAGCGATATTATGCTTTCTTCTTCTTCTTCTTCATGCTCTTGGAATTCCATACAACATATCTTCAAGTTGAACGCTAGTCGGGGAGAAAGAGTCTACATCAGCTCTCTGTTGGAACTCGATTCAATATTCAACCAGTGCTCAAAAACAGCAATAGAAGGAAAGGTGAAAGGCATAGGGTCATCTTCAAGACAGTTTGGACCAAAAAACTCCTCCTTAATTGTCGAGTTTGTTCTCAGTGGGATCCATCTTCCGAGAATTATTGATATGAAAATCGTGAATCCGATTACGTTCAGCAACCAGACAATAAGTAGCCATCAATGCAGCTTCTCATCGTTGCACAGAATAATAAGCCACGATGAGAGAGGTAAAAGGTAAACGGGAAACTATCGAAAAAAGGCATCTATTTCTTGATAAACCGCTGGATATGAAACCGTCGAATAGGACTGGGTATACCCACATTGAAATAAAAAAGGCGACTCGTCCCATTCAAACCAGAAACGAAGCCATTATTTTGAACATAACTTTTGACAGTGGCGACCGTTCCAAAGCAGAAGTGTGTACAAAACGCGTCTTTCCAGGAAAAAGGAAGTGATTAAACAAAATTAAACAATGGAGTGCAGTTCTTAGAATGTTACGCCATTGTATCTCGAATAACTAACGCGCATAGATTTTATCATTATATTCTCTCCAAAATCGGATGTATGACTCCTTTTTTCGGTTTTTCTTTTCTTTGTTTTTTATTCATTGTTTTATGACACAGTTGTAATTAAACTCATCAATATGACTTGCTCTAAGGGCAGTAAATAAATGTGCTCATCAGCACACCTGTAGTTTGAGAAAAACCCAATCCTTCTTTACCGATTGAAATCACTTAGCATCGTTTCTCGGAAAAGTGACTTGTCAGTTGTAGTTATATAGAAGCATGCACACCAGACATTCTATTTAACGTTGTATGTCTTTTTTTAACGCCTTTTGTCCCAGTGATTTCGATCTCCACATTCTGCTATGCCTCCTGAAATAACAGAATCTCTCTGGGTAAAAATCAAAGCCAAACTATTGGTGTCAATTGGGCAGTTGATCTTCGCCGCTCTTCTGATGACTCAGAGTGGATTTCTTGCGGCATACCTAGCAACTTACCAAGATGCGGCCATGGCTGTTCTATGTGTTCTGTGCATTCCGGTACTGGTCTCCTGGATCTACTGCCTCAGCAAAGAGGCAGGCCTTTTAGGAATGGTTTTCACTTGGGGACCGTACCTTGTAGTTTTCTTGATTCCGATAATTGCCATCATATTTGCTGTAGTTGGCGACGACCTCGACAAGGAGAACTTCCTCGGTCCCAACGCTTTAAAAGTAATTTTGTGCCTTACACCAGTTCTCTTTCTATTTTTGCCGAACACAGCTTCGGGGTTAAGTGAAATTGACGGCTACCCACAACTTGCTTTCAGACTGACAATCCAGGTAACCATAGATCTGTTTGATGCTGTTGAAATGCTTGACATCGTCCTCCACGAGAACGGAAACGGCCATGGAATTCCAAAATGGTTTGGAAGACTCATGGTGGCAGTTGCATGCTTCAGTTTCCTATTGTCTCTCTTGCAAATGGCAGAAAACAAACTCGATGGCAAAAAGATCGTGCAGAGCAAATGCCTTGCCATTACCCGTAACGTTGTGCAAATAGTGTTTGTCAATTTGGTGTTCATGGTAATTCGTCTGGTTATCTTCTTTAAATACAAGAAAGAGGAGTCAATCTTCACCGCAAAGAATGGTATCGCATTTTTTTTTTCCGCTCTGGGAATATACTCCATCTGGCAGAATCAGCGAAATAACAAACTTGATCTTCGAGTTTGAGCCTGTCCAGTACTGACTCACTCTGCCAGACATCATCGTAGGTTTTCTTTATAGAGAAAGAGTATAAAGTGCGATCCCGCAAGACCACAGCCCTAGGCGACCGCAATAATATAGAAACCAAGAAATATTTACGAAGCTTGTATGTGACCTCTACTAGTGAAAGGACATAGATTTATGGACGTTTATTTCAGTAACGTTTTCCTCGTTTCTATCAATTTTCAAATATTATAAAATGTTTGGGTATTGCATATTACACTGAATTATGCTTGAAACTACATCTAAATCCTGCTTTCGACACATAGTACAATACATAGCCTTGGCTATAACTAGTAAAAGACGCAAGAAGTACGTATTATTCTTAAAATATAGTTACCCAACTTCAATGAGAAAGCTAGAAGCTCAAAAGCATCCTCTCAGTCGCCCCATGTAAGGGAATCCAGGACAGTCTTGGATTCTGGATTCCATGCTGTGGATTCCGGATTCCGGGTACTGGATTCCGGATTCCAGCACAGTGGATTCCGGATTCCAAAAAGAGTTGAATTCTATTTTTTTCCCGGTTTTAATGCTTTTGCTCGCACTTCGTTTTCGTGTTCGAATCTTGCTATATTGAAAGACGTTGTTAGAAGGCAGAACAAGTTTGTTTTCTTTATCGATTTGCAAAATTACGGAAAGAAATGTATTACAGTTCCGTAAGGGTTTATGGTATAATAATGAGGGAGACATTGGGGGACTCTCCACACCGCAACACCGCAGAAAAAAATTACAAGCACCGCATAACCGCAAAAAGACGTAGCGAAACACCGACATCGCAATTTAAAGTTTTGTCCTACGATTAATCTAATCCAAATCTCCATGTAATTGGGGATGGAGGATCTCGGAGCTGGTTAGTGATTAGTAGAGAGTGAGACTGACTTCAGGAGTCTATTTTTCACTTAATCTACTTTTGTGAACTCTATTTTCAGCCATGCTGATAGAAAAATGCATGCAACGCCCAGATGTCGCCTGTTATCCTTTTGTTTTGAAGTCGTTTTGTATAAAAAGACCATACAGATCATCCTTCGCTCCGGATATGTAAAAAGCAGTGATGTATTTATTATTTAATCAATTTTAACCGACGTTCCTAGGAGGGTGGAACTTGTTTTGGGTCGTTGTGGATCTTTTGTCTATTAGTTTTGATGGTTGGGGATCATTTAGGTCGTTTTGGCTCAGTTTGCCTGGTTTCTCGTTTTATTAGTAACTGGCCAAATAAACATACGCTGTGGCGTGTGCAATTCATTCTTTGCAAAGTCTTTGGCTCTGTTCACTAAGGAATAGTTTTCCGTCTCAATAAAACTTGGAAAACCATTTTTATCTTATCTTTTAAGACTTTTTAAAACTCTCTCTCTCCCTGTCAATAAAGACTTTTGAAGAGGGTAAAAAATTCTCGCGTAGAAGTTGACGCGTACTGCTTTGAGGTTTTAGCGAGCACAATGATAATGAAATTCAAACTAACTGTCACGTTGAATTTGATGTTAAAAAGAACAAAAACAACAAAAAATTAGTTGGCTCATACTTAAGATGTGCGTATAACCGCGTTTTGTTAGAAAAAAACGTCACGGCTCTATCAAATTCGTTGTTTAACACGTCGAAAATTGAGGATTTATTTCGAGCATGCGCTCTTTCATCGCCTGTCACATTCCTGACAGGCAATAATCGGATTTGACCAGATCTCGCCTTCGGCTTCGTCAATAAGAGATCTGGGTCTCTGAGATGGTCTGGGTTCTCTAGGATCCATTTCAAACAAAGAAAAGTTACTGGCTAAAGTGATCTCAGAACGGTCTAATTTCCAAAACCGACCTCAATGTGAACGAGGTCTATTCAGGAGCACAACTGGAGAAAGAAAACATGAAAAATCCGTCTGTTCCTCGACCGAGTCTGAGATGACTGAGAGATCAAGATAGACTTGAGCGTTTCTGACGCGTTGGCTCGTTTTTAGTGTTTTATAACCATATAGCGCTCATTTATACGATATTTTCTCCACGGACGACGTAAACTTCATATCACATTCAGTTATGATTGAGAAAAAAATCAATCTTTCGTTCATGTTTGTGACTTGCTTACCGCCACGTTACAGTCCACAGATCGACACAAACGAAAAATCATGCAGCTTTGCCTTTGGCACGTTTAGACCTATCAGTCAGCTAAAAATTGGTATAAAATTTCACAACACAGTATTACACGTACCTTTCTCTCTCAGCCTTTTGTTTTGCTTGTGCTTTCCCATAATCTTTTTTTTTTAATAACGTAGAAAAGAAAAATCCAACAGACAACAATCTCAAACTCGTCTCATCGATGAGGTGGCGAGATTTCACTCGAATGCCGGGGATGAATGAAAAAGACACCCACCGCGTACTTGCACGTGATTACTTTAGTGACAGCTGATTGGTACGGTTCTGACAGTACCTAGCTTATTCCTCAAATAAAGATTATCGAAACCATGAAACTGTTCTCACCGAAACTACTGGGACCAAATTAGGCACTAGGAGATTGTGAATTTTTTTTCTTGTTTGGTAAAATGTTGAAAGTAGACGTTTATTTTCAATTGTGAACCAGGAGGACCAGGAACGTTCAAGAAAAGTTTCACCCCAGGTGCACCTTTTCCGGTCCTATGCCAGGTCAAATCGCTTTTGATTTTTTAAGTTCAGCGAACCGAGTGAACAACAGAGAATCAAACATAGCCAGAGGTTGAAGCTATTCACAACAATCCAATTTACACCTTAAAAAGGCTGAGCTGTATTCCCTCGAAAACCCCCTAATTTTGTGATCCTGCCAGCCGCTCATAAGCAAGGGTTCCCTCTCTGACCGTGACCTTGACCTTTCATATGGAGCTCGTGAAGTATAGTTTTGACACTAGGTATGCCGATATTACACTGTATGTCATCACATTGGGGCATATACCCTGGGTAGGCTTTCCATAGATGGTTTTTCTTTCGAGCGAGTAGCTCAATCCAATCTGGAGTGGATCTTTAGTAAGTTGGATTCTGGATTCCAATCTTTAGTAGGATTCCGGATTCCTAGTGCTGGATTCCGGATTCCATAGCCCAGGATTCCGAATTCCACAAGCAAAAAATTCCTGGATTCCGGAATCCGGATTCCCTTACATGGGGCGATCTCAGGATATGTTGTGATATTTAGGTGATTTATAATTTGTTCTGACTTTTCTGATCTCAAGAAAAAGATTCAGATAGTCCGCTCCAATCAAACTCTTGTTACTTAGAAGTGTTAACTATTCCAGTTGTCCCCTTAGGGGCTTGTCGTTTTGTGAGGTGGATTCGGCCATTTTGCTGGGGGTCATTTTTTAAATCTTGATTGTTTTGAGGGGTCATTTTCAGAAAAAAAAGCGTTACCTGGGGCGTCATTTAATGAGAAGTGTCATAAAGAAATATTTTCCTGTTATATAAGCGAAGAAATCGATGTAAGGTATAATATTAATTTTTCGGAAAGCTGAAACTACAGCGAAAGACTAGCCTGTGAGATCCGGTTGTTACTTCCCTCGAGTGTAAATGAATAACCACATTGACATGGACAAATTTGCATACTTAAGGTTTTTGTTTATGCGTAAATGAAGACGTGTGACCCCAAACGAATTGGACGTGCGATGCTCACTAAAATGATAAAATAATGTTATAGGATGAGTAAAGGTTTGCTCAAAAGACGGGTAATCAGTAATAGACCGAGGATCGAACAGAACACTAGGCAAGATTGAGGCACATTTCTAAATGTACCAGACGAGTACATTTGATTTCGGGTTGAGGTAAACGCTTTTCAAACCGGAAAAAGTAGTATCCAGGTCAGCGCGGTCCCTTAGCTGACTGTGTCCCTTTAAACATCACGCAAATGGGTTTAAATCAATTTCGTCGTCTTTAATTCATTCCTTTTAGTTACACTCTCCAACTTCCGCTGTCTCTGGATCATTTTCTTTTGCTATTTTCGTTGATTTTTAAAAGTATCGTCCAATAGGAATTGCACGGGGAATACCCCTTACAGCTCTTCTCGGAAAAACAGCGGAAGGCCTTCGCAGTTTCTCGGAAAAGCTGTCGCCATAGCCATACAAACATCTCTCAACTGTTCCTTTTGTTTAAGTGACGCTTTCTTGTTTTCTCTGTGCGTTTTCGTAGCTGCTGGCCTTGATGTTGTTACGAATACGTTTTTAGAAACTGTGGCCGGCTGCTCCAAAGGCACTGAGTAGTAAATCGAAGGCTGGGAATATGCCGAGGAACCTTTGGTAAATACCTCAATGCAATTCGTAATTTAAAGCAAGACCGAAGTCAAGTTATATGGACTGTGAGCGGGTGCTGTGGCACTTTCAATCTTGCTGAGGCGACATTAATACTTGCCACCGTTCTGCCTTCTCAGAAGACTGGAAACATGAATCTAGATCTGTCTTCTGTGTTTAAGATGATCGGGCGTGGAACATTTTTCGCTCTGACAGTCACCCAAGGCCTCCTGCTTGCCTCTTATCCAGCGAAATACACAGAAAATGATTATTGGTATGGCATAGCGCTTACTCTGTACAGTCCATCGATGATCCTGTGGCTCTGTCTTGTGTTACCCAAGCCATCTAGACTGGAGGCAAACCTAAGTTGGTCATTTGGTGTATGGGGTTTGTATATTTTCTCGGGATTGATTCCAAGCATTGGCATCGTCTTTGGAGGTGCAGGATACCTCGAATCATTCAACACGACTGTAAATGCCACTGATTGTGATGCTCCTCTACGAGTTTCTAACGAAACAGCAAATTTAACGCTGTGTGATGATCTTTTAAGCAAAGCAAGTGTTGAGAGAAGGAACAGTGGACAAATAATTGTCCACGTTTTAGTGTAAAACCAACATGAAATATCGTAACCGTGTCTGCCCAGAGGACCGCCAAAACACCATTTCTGGTATATTGTTGATCAAAGAGGTAGATAAAATAAACTCTTGCCGAAATAGATTTCAGGGTATCCGCCATCCAGCTATTCCTAAGAGTTATATATTCAAGAGCTAAATCGAGGTGCACCAAATAAGGTCGTTCATCGGAAAAGCTTTGTTAGTCTAAGAAGGAGGTTGGCTTGATGATCTTATTATATAAAGGATTTCATCGACATTTTAGTTTCATTTTGTATTTTACAATACCCTTTTTTTAATTGTAAACTTAACGAACCCGCACACGCCACTCTTCCACAAACATACCCAGGTAATTTTTACTGTTGTGTTAGTTAAACGTGCTCTCCACATAGCTTTAAAACTATGCTGGACTCGATTCATTCGCGAACAATTTGTAGAAACTCTAGCTCACAGTCAATAGTTAAGCTGAAAATTTATAGCCGCATGTAAAAAATTGATTAAGGTGTCAAGGCTGAAAAGAAAGTTATTGAGCATAAAAGGGCCCCATTGTATTGCTGTTTATTAGGGACATGCCGGTTTTGGTGTGTCTCTTCGTTAAATATAGCAGTACTCCTGTAGATCAGATTACCATGGCCGCCCTTGTTCTGATGTGTTAGTTGCCTTGGCCGCTTAAACTACACATCATCGCTGCTTAAATTGCAACCGTTACTTAATATCAATAATTAATGCATCTTTGTTGATATATTAAATATGATAGATTATGACCCCTTTTTAGTCAACAGGAGCATATTACACGCTAGCGTTTAGTGAATCAGAAGGGAAAAGTACCACAATCGATTACATAGTATTGCCTTGAGAAAACCACCTTTCTCGCAATCCCCAGCGTCATTTTCCTTATTCCGTTTAAGCTTCCTCTTCCTGTGACCTAAATTCCTAGAAATATTGGCTTTTGATAAATAAGCCGTGGATGTACTCATTATGACACAACTGGAAAGAAAAGCTCCCATCCTATTGGCTGATTAATACGGTCGTTCTTTTTATGAGAATCTCTCTATTTAAATCCCTAGAGCTAGCGACAAACATGCAAATTCTCTTAACCTTCAAATCACTGTCATTTCTAGATATTGTGTGGCAGATCACGAATGTGATTGGCTCTTCCATTGCTTGTCATGGTGACGACAGTGAAATCCCACCCTCAAATATCGATTGAATCTAGAAAGCGCTCAAAAATTCAATTGCTCATCCTAGCATTTGGTTTTCCGCCCTTTTTATTTTCATTTTTTATTTAGTTTTGTTTTTCTCTTAACGGACGTTATGGCCTCTTGTTCAACTTCAAATCACAGTTCACCATCTGGCAGTTTGCTTCCCCAAATTTTATCTAAGCATCGACCGCTTGAGGTCCCTGTGAATACCGCTCCTTCGCCTGAAAGTAATCTGTCGAACAACGAATACATTCTTAGTGATTGCAAACTCATGGCGGCGATGGATGAAAAATTTCTTGAACTTCTGCCTCACTTTGAAGCTCTAAAGAGAAGCCAGTGTTACATCAGGAATTTCCTTCGAAGAAAGGCAGAAAAAGTCAGAAGAGGTGAAAACGTCGACGACAACTTAACAGACTGGATGGAAGACGGCATGGGCTCTGCTGAAGAAAATGATGGCCAATTAGTTACTCCAGTAATTCTACTTCCACGGCTCTTTGAAAGTAAAGCCGAAATGGCGAAGCTTGAGAATCGTTCATTTGTCTTTAAACTTTGGCTTCGAAGAATAAATATTACAAGATGTGAGAATTACGACGAATACATCTCCCTTCAGGATCTTGAGCACGCCATTTATGAAGTCCATGAAGCTATCGAGGAATATAAAGAATTTATTATCATGAACTTCTACAACATGAAGAAGCTAGAGGAAATGGGCCCTTTCTTTGCAGACCGCCAGGAGGCATCAATAAATAAGGTTTTAGAAGAGCAAGAAAAAGCAAGTTTTAAATTGACGATGGAGGATATTGACCGGTTTCATTGCCCTAATGCTCGACTGAGCGCTTTGCTTGGTCTTAAACTCGACTTCCTCGACCGTCTCAAGGAAGTGCCACCAGAACATTGTGAGCATCGAACTCTTGGCGACTGGATTGTTGTCTTTTTACGCAACAACATAATTCGAGAAACGTTCACATCCAAAGACAGCAACGTAGTTACGAAGGAATTGCTTGAAGCAATCGGTTTTGACCCCCTAAGTACTACAGTTGAAACTATCATTTCGCGTTCAAGAAACATGCAACGTCACATCGAGGCGTACGAGTGGGCAGAGATTTTCATTAGAGATGAAGTTAAGTACCATCCTTTGCTGTATTCCCTATCAAGTCCCTATCCTTTCCAAGCCAATTTAATTAACTCGTGGTTTCAACTGCCAAGCAGAACAAATGAAGAAAGCGAATGTGAAATAGACCCATGCCAAGTTAACATCATGAACCTCGTGACAGAGGAATCCAAAGCGAGTAATGCCACTCAGACCATCCTTAATGAATTTTTGCCAAGAGAAGAGCAACTGCTTTTTCATGGTACAGATCACTTCAGCGCGGCCGACATCTTCCTCCGAGGGATAGATTTGAGCGCTGGGCGGCAGAAGCGTGATTTTAGCTGCGGATCAGGCTTTTACTTATCCAACAGTTTAGACAGTGCATTAAACTGGGCCAAAAGCACCACAGCCAAACCAGCCATTCTGGTTTTCAAAGTGAATGGCGATATTTTAAATGATGCAAGACCACTAAATTTGATCAACAATGAGGAAAGATGGAGTGAAATTGTATCGTCATTTCGACTGGGTCGACGGACGGCAAAAACGCGGAAGAGTTTGAATTCATTTGACTTCATCGAAGGTCCTGTTGCTACATTAGCATCCAGCGAATCATCTGAGGTTATCTTTGAGCCAAAACCCTCGTCCCATCAAATATGCCTAATATCAGACGAATTTGGAGAAAAATTTCACCAAACTCTTCATTCTATAATATTCTACTACTTTTCTTAACTGTGCCTAGGAACATAATTCACTGAAGGCTTAAACTGAAAAGGAAAACTATTATGCTGTTTATAGAGAGTGCTTGTTTTCAAAATTTAATGGCTGAACTTGTGTGCATAAGTTTTTGAAAACTTTAATGTTATTAAACCTTTAAGCCCTAAGAGTAGTAAGCATCAAATGTTTTTTCAAGGTTTTATAAATCAGACTGAAGAACATTATCAAAATAATGAATTTAATGTATACTTTAAACTTCTCCCCACCACGTCCATGTTTAGGGGCAACATATAATAATTAATTTTGATATTAGGGCTTAAAGGGTTAAAGATTCACACGATGAAAACATGTGACATTTGAATCCAGTGTCATTAGAAGCTAAATGCTTCTTTTCAAGTTTTAAATGCAGAATATGTAATAGCAGGTTTTTTCTACGAAAATGTTTTGTGTAAAAATGAAAGTTTAAATGCTTAGGGGGTAAAAGTTTAAACTTCCAGTGTACAGGTGTGTAAAAAGAGAGAAAGATGTGGTTAATAATGTTTTGTACTCGTCAGTACCAGGAACTTCTTATAAAGACTTAGGAATTCCAGTGGCATGAGACAAAATCGAATGACAAATAAAACTTTAACCCACGGTCTTTTGCTATAGAATTCGCTTGCTCATGTGTTCCAAGCTTAGTAATAAATGAATTGAATTACATCTCACATCACTGAAAAAGTTGCTGTAGATATCCCTAACAGGTTCAACTTCAACCATTTGTGTCCCCACACTGTAGTGACCCCAGTCTTGGGCTCCAAGAAAAAGCCTCCTAATGTTAAATGCCCCATACCTGGATCTCCTTTGCAGACATCCCTTTGGCTCAACATGCACTTCTCTTGCGAGATAGTTAACCCAAAAGGACATCTGTGTAGGAAGCTATCATCCTCAGGCTACTTTTAATGATGAATGATACAAATACCACTGTTGTCAGGGGAAGGACTGACACACTCATAAAAGTGATTGACTAAGCCAAGCTGTTTTAAAGTATATCCTAGTGAGTGGCTTAGAATTTACGACGAGCTCCGCTTTTAGGCCTGGCTAAATCTATGTGTCATCTTTCATTTTGCACATGATATTATTTCTGATTTCAAGGGCACCAATTTAAAAACAGCAATTTCAATGATAATAAAAAAAATTCAAGTCCCCAACAAGAATCAAGCAGTTTAGAATGCCATCGATCTCCTTCCAATGTACGCGTAAGGTTGGTTATCACAGAACATGGAAGGTTTGGTTTCTTTGGGTGACACCTTGAAAATCGACATCCCTTATGCCTTTTACATGATGTTAATAAAGTCATTTTAAAAACCCACTGGGTAGGAAAAGTTTAAGAGTTTTGGAAGATGAGAAATTCACTAAACAGCAGTGACATGAATCGAAGTGGTGTTGATATTTGAATATAGAGATAACGGATGGAACATCCACATAAACAATTATAGAGAGGTCGAGGAGTGTGCTGTGACTTAGAAAGTAAAACCTATCTTTAAAGAAAATATAATTTTCTCACTTGAGGTAAGAGTAAGTCAGTGACATTAAAAGGAAGTAACAGCAGAAAGTAACTATCAGCATTATCTAGATCTCTTCCCCTCTATTCTGAAATTCTTCGCGCGCACATTTTTCTTTAGACTCCCCTTAGTATTTACTCGTCGTTACACGATTCTGACATTTTTGGGAGTGAGAGATGATGTTCTAGTTACAACACATTGCAACATTAATGCTCGGCTTGCAAAACGGTAGATTGTATAACAGTGACAGCACAGATAAATTACCTACTCTTCAAATAATCGAAAAATTTTATAGATTCCTCTTACGCTGATTCTCCTGTTTCGAGATAATGCGTTTTGATAGAGCACAAATACATTGCTTTATGGTCTGCACACGCACGATGTAGCAGTAAGAGAAAATGAGAGCCATAGTTGACTTAGTTTGACCAACAGGTGTTGCTCTCAAAGAAGTTAAGACAAACAAATTCATACGTTTACGATACGTTTTATTAATGATGATAATTAGAAGAATGCTATTGGTTTTATCATGCATGCAAACAAAGGAAACAAATTATTCTTAACGTTTAAAGAAGATAACTGAATGAAGGCTTCGATCAAACATCTCAGCACAACAGTCTGTTTTAACACAGAGTTGATAGGTACCCTCCTTTTGTCTCGGATAATCGACATTTGGGTTCTTGCTAGACATTGAAGCCATAGGCCCTTCGATAAAGTCGTACTCCTTCAAACTTTTGACAAATTTTTTAGCAGGCCGTCCTGAGCGAAATTCCTTGACCAACTGTAACCATCTCTTCTTATCACTCGTCAGATCCAACCCTTTATCTGGACCTCGCAGCTCCGTCTTCTCGACACGAAAGACAAGGACAGCAGTGTTGAGGTGTCCACGAGATGCTGGCCATCTGCAAGCTTCCTTAAAGTCATTACCAAGATAGAAACCGTCCCCATTGCTGAAATCCTGTCGACAAGCCCCTCTTTTTACGTCGATGCCTCCTTCGATAATGTCCTGAGCGTATAGGTGTCCGGTTCCATGGACGAATACTTCATGATCTTCGTCTATAAGTGAGTCTATGAAATCATCGACGCCATCTTGGGATAAGTAGCATTTACTTTTCTTGCTGTCTTTATCGACATTTATTACCTTTACAGGTTGTTTCCTATCAATTTCATCATCTGGCAGAGTGAACCATTCATTAGTGACTGAATCCTTGTACGGAAAACGGCTACATGTGAAGAAAAAATTTCCAAGCTGTTCAAATACATTTATGAATTGAGACGTAATTTGCAGGAATAGTCGAGTGGCTCGTGGAAAATTCCCCACATTCTCGATAGTCTTCCTGTTAAACCACCCAATCATGATCATTTCTTGCAAGGTCTGAACTAATCGATGAATTTCGCTTGCATCAAATCTTTTTAGCCAAGTATAACTCAGAATGTTTGCCATCGAGCTTGAGATCATCATCCTTTCAAACATTGCCATTGACTTCGGCATACGAATAGCACTGAGGTACTCGCACTGATTGCCCTTATAATGCTGATCGCTACAAATTCTCAGAAACTCCCTTAATTCTGAGAAATTCAAACAAAACATTTGGGAGATTTTTGATTTTCAGCATACTTAATAGAGCGCTATATGAAACTTATATAGAACAACCTGGACAAAAAGATGCAATTTTACAAACTTTGTAGCACTGGCTGTACGACAACTTTAACGCGAAGAGACTTAATTCCATCAGGGAAACGAAAAGAAGTAATGAATTATTTCCAAATCACATAGAGCAAAAATTCAGACAAATTTTCGAATTCTCCCTTGCCAAACATGTTCTTTTACTTGACGTTCATTGGCTGACTTGGCTGATATCGACCCTGTTTCCATGGCGAAATACCCTCTAACCAGTGACAAGAATAAATAAGTAATACGTGGCTCTGTGGGTTTTTTATATTCAAATGGATGGTTAGAAAATTTATTTTCTTGCATTTAATTCTCTCTCCGTTTTGTAAAAGAAGACTGAAGAGTCATGCAGCACTGGTCTTTTGAAATGTGCCGTACACGTTGGCGAGAATCAATCCAATACAAGTGTGACCAGGGATGAGAGAACTGTTCAAGGGCGATTTATTTTGACTACTAAGATTCAGAAGAACTTCGGAAAAATCAGAATCCTCATAGGACGTGAAATAAACCACGAAACTCAAAGCTTAACATGTTGGAAAGAGACTGTACCGATCAGTGGGACAATCAAGATTGGTCACAATTCTGTGCTTTGCTCGGGTTAAAACTCGACTTCCTTGACCGCCTCGACGAAATGCCGCCCGAATTGCGTGATCGTTATACACTCACTGGCTGGATAACTACTTTCTTGAAAGCAAAGTGTGAGTCAGTTTGCTCGAAAACCAAATCATCACTCACCATAGATTTGCTTGACGAAATCGGTTTTGACCCGCACAGTAAAGCCGTTGAAACAATAATGACGCGCGCATTCGCAGGAAATTCGCAACGCCACGTTGAAGCGTGCGAATGGGCAGAAATTTTTATTAGGGATGAGCTGAAGTACAATCCTACATGGAGTGCCCTGTCTGTGAACTTTCCCTTTCAAAGTAACATAACCAATTTATGGTTTCACTTCCCGAATATGACAAACGAGGATAGGAAAAGTCAAGAAAGCCCTCGCCACGTCAATATAATGAACTGCGTGACGAAGGAATCTCGTGCGTGTAGAGACACTCATACATTGTTCGACAGTAAGTCACAAGGTGAACAAAACGTGGTGCTTTTTCATGGCACAGACCATCTCAGCGCGGCCGACATATTAGTCCGGGGAATAGATTTGTGTGCTGGAAGACAGAAGCGTGATTTCAGCTGTGGCTCAGGCTTTTATTTGACAAGAAATTTAGGTGATGCTCTAGACTGGGCAAAGAGCACCACAGCAAAGCCCGCCATTTTGGCTTTTCAAGTCGACAGCAGGCTTTTGGATAATTCTAGGAGACTTAATTTATTCGAACATGAAGATAGGTGGCGCGAAATTGTTTCTTCGTTTAGATTGGGTCAGAGAACAGCTAAAACACGAAAGAGTTTGATAACCTCTTATGATTTCATTGAAGGACCTATTGCCACACTGACGACAAACGGAACATCTGGCGAGTTACCGTTTGAGCCCAGACCCTCATCTTTTCAAATGTGCCTCATTTCAGACGAATTGGCGGAGGCTTTTCAGCAGACTCTTTACTCGGTTGTATTTTTTGATATCAGATCGTAGCCCTACCGGATTTCGTGACCCAAGGCATGATTTGAAAAAGGGTCTTTGTCCAGCGATGCGTAACGTTAATTGTATTGACCATGTCTTATTTTGGAGATCTCCTATAAAAATCCAAACGGCAACGTCAAGGTCACATGTTATTTTTTTTCGTTTTCAAAACTAACTCAAGTCACGATTGAGTATGGATGTCATGACTTTTTACGTGACCAGAATTAAACGGAAAAGTAAGGGCGCTCTTTCAAGCAAATTGTGGCCTCTGCACTTTGTTTTAGATGGCAAACGCAGGAGACCACTACCCGTAGTAGGTAGTGGCGTCCTCACTGAGGAAAACAATTTGCCCGAAACTGCTCAAAATTTCTTTTTCGTTTTCTTTAGTTTCATTTTGGCAGCATTTTGTGTCACGGAGAGGGAGTCGGTTGAATGTGCGTTTTTGGAGAAAAAAAGCATAACAAATTTGAAGTTTTGATAGAATAAATGGGTTGCCTTTGTGTCTCCTTTGACGTCAAATCTCGCCAACATAGCAACCGACTCCCTCTCCGTGACACAAAATGTTGCCAAAATGTATTGCAAACAAATTTGCACATCTCAAGTTAATTTTAAGATACTTAAAACTTTTATTATGGCAAAAGCTTTAGTTTCTAAGTATTTTCTGCATTTTCCGAGGAATACAAGATGGTGACGGCTGTTTTGAAGGACCTGCCTTTCCCCAGCAAAGGGAATGGAGGGGGGCCTAACTGATTTGTTTCTACGTCTGAACTGGGTTTAAATGCATGTATCCACATCTACATAATTTATTTGCAAAATCCTATAAGGACATCTCGCAAATTCTAGTGCAAAGAGTAAGAATAAAAATGAATAAAAAAATATGTGCAATTAAGGTAATAAATAATTGTGGTATAGAAATGATGAAAAAAATAACAAAACAGTGAATTGCCAAGGATATTCCAAGTTACGGGAGCCAATCAAAACGGGCGAAAATTGCTTTTCACTGATTTGGTAAATACTAATTACATTTATTTCAGTAATATTACCATGACAATTTACCAGCATTCTTAAATAAACTTTTTAAAACTAATAAAAGTTTACATTCCCACAATACGCGATCAGCATCAAACTGATACATAATTGAATTTAAAGAACAAGCTATGGCAAATATTCTATAGGTAAGTGGATCTTGGATTCCGGATTTGGCAATCGTTGTGGGATTCGGATTTCTTGAGTTGTTTTCCGGAGCCCAAAGCCCAGGATTCCGGATTCCACAAGGAAAATTTCCCCAGATTCCGAATTCCACGGGCAACACGTTCCCGGATTTCGGAACCCCGATTACCTTTCACGGGGCATAACAGCTTTCGTTTTAGTAATCAAGCGTGTTCAGCGTGTCTTACCCAAATTGCACGCTAACCGTGCTATAATTCGCACACTTACCGTGACATATGGCACGCTACAAAAAAACAAAAGGTCTGGCGTGTTAAATTTGCCAAAACAAAGGTAAGTGTGTCCGTCTTTGTTTTTTCAATTTAATATGCGCATATCCGTGATCTACGGCACGCAAAGCGTTTCGTGCAAGCGTGTCGTGCGCGTGCTTTCACCTTTAGCATCAAATTCCTGTGGAGGGTCACAATTTATTTCACGCTTGTTGTTTCATGCGGGATCGGCTATCGAGTGACAAGCTTGAGTTGAGTTAGAGTTGAGTTTGAGTTGAGTTTGAGTCAAGATTGAGTTAAGTTTGAGTTACCAAAAAAATGCCTTTTTTCTCCAGAATTGCTTTTTTTCACCGTTTATTTTAGTTTTTTTTTTTTTTTTNATAACAGCTTTCGTTTTAGTAATCAAGCGTGTTCAGCGTGTCTTACCCAAATTGCACGCTAACCGTGCTATAATTCGCACACTTACCGTGACATATGGCACGCTACAAAAAAACAAAAGGTCTGGCGTGTTAAATTTGCCAAAACAAAGGTAAGTGTGTCCGTCTTTGTTTTTTCAATTTAATATGCGCATATCCGTGATCTACGGCACGCAAAGCGTTTCGTGCAAGCGTGTCGTGCGCGTGCTTTCACCTTTAGCATCAAATTCCTGTGGAGGGTCACAATTTATTTCACGCTTGTTGTTTCATGCGGGATCGGCTATCGAGTGACAAGCTTGAGTTGAGTTAGAGTTGAGTTTGAGTTGAGTTTGAGTCAAGATTGAGTTAAGTTTGAGTTACCAAAAAAATGCCTTTTTTCTCCAGAATTGCTTTTTTTCACCGTTTATTTTAGTTTTTTTTTTTTTTTTGAAAATTTTCATTATTGCTTTTTTATAGATGGTGCGGGTAGGCACGCCTCTGCATTGGAAAACGAAACTCTTCATGGGCGCACGTTACTGGAGAGCTTTGTTCACATGTTTTAGAAAAGCAATATTCAAACATAAAACTTTCTTTTCAGATGCTAGATACCCGGTATCGCCCCTTTTTAACTGATCTCTCTTCCTAGCCGATGACAAAAGAGAACAATGATATAAGGGGCATTGAGCAAAAATATGAAAAAGTGACGGAAAAACATGGACCAATAACAATTAACTGTTCTTTTCCCACGGCTGTTGATGCATTCGCGACTGATTTTGATTTCCTCAGAAGTCATTAAGTCCCCCACCCCCCACTTAGCGTGAATTTGTCAATCTGACCCAATCTCCGTTTTCCAGTTACAAATGAAAGACATTTATTGATTCATCGATGTTTTTTTTAGGTTTTTTTTTTTTTGGTTTTGTAATTTTTTTGGCCTAGTTTTTGTTATTAAGGGTGTTCCGAGGGGAGTCCGTCCCGTCGGGGGGGGGGGGGGGGGTTCGGGGGGGTCCTGGGATGTTTGGGCCCCCGCCTTGGGGGTTGGGGTTTTCCGGGGGGGTTCCGGCCCTGTTCCCGGTTTTACCGCCCCCCAATTGTAGCGTGGCCCCCCGCCCCCTTTTTATATGGAAACCCCGGTTCTCCCCCTATGTGGTCATATAAAGATGGTGTTG